AATCTTATTATTTATAAATCTTTTTTTATGCGATTTCTGGTGCATTTTAAAACATTCGGGTTTTATGCGATTTTTTGAATAAATGGAACGTATCCATCATTTTGCATATAAATGTATGTCTTTTTTTTGTGCGATTTTTTTTTATGCGGATTTCCCTGGAACGCATCTACCGCATAAAAAAAGAACCAAGTGTACATATATTTTCTTATAATTTTTACGCGCATTTTTGTTATAATTTATTTTTATTTTATTTTAATTTTTTGAGTATTTTTTATTACAGTTATTCTTTCTGTTGCCATCTGCCGTTCTTTCTTTAATTTCCACTCATTATTATTATAATTTTTGTATGCTCTATATTTCATTAACCCTTTTGTTTTTGAAAAAGCGGGGTTTAGCTTTTGGTTTGCTGGCCCTATTTTCCTATTTCTTTCTAATTTGTTCTTATATTGGTTTGGGGTCATGACGGTTAAGTTTGTGAGTCAGGGTGGTCGACATGTTTGGCGCCACACCAATTAGGTATGCTCGGGTACTTGTGGTAGGCCTTTTCATTCGAAATGTGTGAACGTTGGGGGAAGTGTTGCTGATCGTACTCGTGAGACTTTAGGTGTTTGTTGGTTTTGCAATGATTAAAGGAAGGTTTCGTTCAGGGGTGCTGTCTTTGCAATTGCCGAAGTTGGGTTCTGCTTCCAAAAAGTCTAGAGATTTAGATGGTTTATGTGGAGCCTTTTCGGCGCTTTCGGTGAAATTTGAAGGGATTAGGATGTTTTCTACAGTTGGTTCTTCGCCGGGTTCTCCGGTACTTGATGAGGATTGTGGTTTGCCTGGTTTCACTTCGTTGGGCGATGGATTAAGGCTGTTATGTATCTTCCTGTGTCTGGAGCACTTGATTCTGGTACTTCGTCGCTTTCGGCTAGGAATTCGCTCGGCCTTGGGGTTTCCCTTTCGTTCCGTTTGGTGGTGCTGTGGGAGGTGTTCTGTCCTTGGTTCCTTATTCGGAGTCGGTTCGAGTTGGCGTGACGTCTGCTGGTGTCCCTTTGGGCGTTTCGGGTTCGACGGCTGCGCCGATATTGCATCGTCCATCGGAGTCGGTGCCTAAAAGTAGGATTGTCTTTATGTTTCGGTTGGTTCCGGACACTGAGCCGGATAATGTGTCCTTTCATGTTGCTAGTGTTCTCGGGTAGTGCGGGGTTACAGTTACGCAGATGGCGGCTGGACATTATGCGTCGTTTAGGTTTGTTGTTCCTGAGGAGCACTTTGAGCGGATATTGATGCCACTGAATTGAGCCAAGAGTTGTCTTGTCAGGGAATTCGAGTACAGGCGTATAGTGTCTATTTTTTATTCAGAATGTGAGGGTTGCGTTTTTACTATCGCAGTCTGTTCCATATGACGTCGTGGTCCTTACGAGACTTAATGGTGGATTTTTTTAGCAAGGAACTTTTTTAATTATATAGGAAAGTTTTTTTAATTATATAAAGCAAAATAAATTTAATACTTACGTTGTTTAGTTTTATTTTTTCAAAAACTTTCGATAAGATACGTAAACAAAATGACAAGTGAATGATAAGTATGCGAAAGTAGCATTCTGTAGTACCACTTTTGCTACTTTCTCACACCCGAATTTGCGATATCCGATTTATATCGTGCCAATTAAATCGAAAATCGTTTAGCGAAAATAGTAGGCCCAAAAACGTGAAAGTTGGAAACTTACTTAAGTTGATGGTTCACAACTGGTTCGGTAAAATTTTAACTTTAAGTTTGATTAAATATATTTTGAAGTTTTGTGTACATTTTTTTGTACCGTTATATCAGGCAACATATCTGAAAGAATTAAGAAAACAGCTGACAGAAATACAGGCCTGGACCCTAAGAGAGAGTGACAGTTCACAGCTGACGAATTTACACGTTTTCTTTTGGGATTTATAGAGGGCCCTTTATACCATCATAAATCTCTACATGATAAACTTTTTTCAAATTTTGAATTAGAAAAAGTTAAAATTCAATTTTAACTTAATGGAAATTTCTTCATACAACTGCAGAACAGATGGATGACGTAATCAAAGGAATGAGTTAAAATTATTAGTGTAATAAGCACACTACTTATTAATTTCACAACTACAATGTTGTATTACTAAATTCATAATATAATTAGTGTAATAGACACAACACCTATTAATATATATTGTCTTGTAATTGTGTGTTTCAAATACTAGATTGCATGTAGCAACTCAATGTAAACAAATACTTAGTAATCATGTGGATTACAGTATAAAGCGGTCGTTCAATAAGATTTTATGTATCGTGCCAAAAAAGATGTGTTTTTTTAAACCAATATTTCGGCGTGCCGAATCTATTCCATAAAATTAAGTAGTATTGAAAATCAGAATACTTATATTCGTTTTTATATTAATTTTTATTTATTTCATTTATTATTTTATTTTTATTTATATTTATACGTTCAAGGGCGACTTTGATCATAAAATTGAATTAAACACCTTTTTTTAATTTTTTAGTCGATTCGACCGATCACTTTATTGGTAACAAATGAATTGAACTTTTTTTAGTTTTGCAAAATACAAAAATGTTCTTAAAATTACAAAAATAATATTTAAAAAAAAATTCTTTTTTTCTAATTTGTTATGTTTATTACAAAATTACCATTATACGTATACCATATTAACGTTATAATAATATGTAAAAGAAAATAAATGAATACTGCAACATAAACATTTTTAAGTGGGTCGTTCGTTCATACTATGTTTTAATAAAAACATACATAGGTCAGTTTAGTTAAGTTAAAATTGTAATTAATTTTATTTGTTTTGAAATATAATAAGTACAAAAAATTTACGATAAAAAAAGAATTTATGAAAATAAAAGAGAAAAATTAAAAAATAAAAGTGTCGTTTGTTTTGCTTAATTTATTGTATTGAAATAATATTTTAGTTGATTATTTCAAGAGGATAATCTTTTAGAATATTATCATCATTTGATGTTGATGATATAACTTTATATTTTAACATGAAATTATTAAAACATTTTAGTCAAAATTCAAATTTGAAACCAAAATAGAAATGTTTTTAATAATATTTTTTGTACTGAGTTTAAGCGCAATTATATTTTTGTTGAAAATAAAAATTAAAAATAAGAAAATTATGTTTTGGAAAGTAACAAAATAAATAAAAAAACTTTTTTTAAAAAAGAAATTTATTTTCATATACTTATCACGCGTGCCAGCAAAGTTTCGAAGCACGAAGAAGTGCCACGCAACTGCGATCGTTGGTATAAAGCAATGTGAAGAACATTTCGTGGGCAATTTCTTCATACCTCTGTAGCTCAGTTGGTAGAGCATCCGCCTAGAAAGCGGTGGGTCACTGGTTCGAGCCCAGTTCGACGAGAAAAATTTTTTAATTTTTCTGCCTTTAACTCATTTGATTACATCATCCATCCGTTCTGCAGTTGTATGAAGAAATTTCCAATAAGTTAAAATTATTATTGTAATAAGCACATTACTTATTAATTTCACAACTACAATGTTGTATTAGCAAATTCATAATTAAAATTCAATCTTTTTTCACTTTACTAGTGCTTACATTTTTAAAGTTTTGTGTTATTAAAACGTTAAAAAATACTTCCAAGCTCTGTTCATTTTTTTAAGATTTCAATAAATGTTACATTACTAAAAAAAAAATAGTGCAATATATTTTTTCGAAGTATAAAGTTGATTTTTGTGTATTTTTTTCGAATTCAAGAAAATGTACATTTGATATTAACGAGTTTGCTAATTTTGTATGATATGGCTCCCAAAATGAATACTAATGACATGTATATCAATATATTTTTCATGTGCATACTATATTAATTAAATTTATGTACTTGCTTTCTAATTCATAAAAATTATTACATACGTAAATTCTATTTATATTAAAAGTTCATATAATTCTTTTATTTTAGTTTTATTAGAAATATTTTCACATTGTTAGTAATGATTTACCTAATCTACCGCATTATAAAATTTTAAAAACGCTATAATAATTATAAAAACTTAAAATAAATAATTACAAACTTAAATATGTACTAATTTAAAATCTAATAAAATTTTTATTAATTTTATTTTAAGTTGTGTATAAGTTCTGTATAGTAACGCAGGTTGCTATATAGTAGCGCAACTTGCTACCGAATAGGCTTCCATTTAATTGGTAGAGGAACATAGAATATACATACATAATATTGATGTATACATGATAGTGTGATTATAACCAAACATGGAATGAATAAAACAAGTATATAATTATATTTGAAAAATATCAACTGTAATTAAACTTATTAACAGCTTACACAGGCATTGAATTGTGCATAATATTCACTTTAAATAGTTTTATTATTTAATAAATATTTTTTTTTTTTGTTAACTTTTCATTCGTTATTTTGTATTACCTTTTGGTTGCCGATAAACTGGCAAATTGAGACATTTTAGAATATTAGTAAAATTATTATATACATTGAAACATTCATGCCAATAACTCGCTTATGTAAAGGCTCAGTTAAATTCAGTATTCAAAGGACATATTGTGAGTTAGACTTTAACTTTGATATAGCTAATAGCGAGTTTTTTCTCTTGTTCATTGTGAAGCAGGAATATTAAGAATATAATAAAACTCAACGCCAGGTTCACTTCACTTCACTTTTTCACGAAATATTTGAAATAAAGTAACAGAACATAGAAATAAAAATAAAAAATTTTCAAATTTCACTGATGTAATAAATTACGTTAATGTGTATTCGTATCAAAATAATATTATGGAATTCATAAACATTTTTCACAATTTTATAATTCTCATAAATTGATGTTTATTTGATATTAGTATAATATCGAATTTGAAACCATCGATAGTTTCGATAGTTGAAAAATATCGGTAGTATAGATAGTGCCATCGATAGTTCACCTCTAGTCTAGAATACAAGACTTAAAATAAATTTAATAAAAATTTTACTATATACCACGGCTGACAGATATTTTGTATTGTCAAGTTATAAACCAATAGCAATTTATACACAAAATAGGAATTGAAATACTCCGGTCTGAGTACAACGGCAGCATGATATTCATTTTGTATCATGAAATTGAAAATATTCAAAGTCCAATTTGAAAATAAAATCATTTAAGATAGCAAAAAAAAACTTGCTATTTCGCTTATATAAAATTTTTATTCAAAATAATACAATCCCATATGCTTAAATTAATGTTAGTTAAAAAATAAGTAAATACTGAATATCAAATTTAATAGTAAATAGTGAATATTAAATCAATATTAAACACTGAATCTCAGTGCTAAAAATAAACTACATATATCAAATAGTTTTACATTATACAATTGCTTGAGTCAAAACAAAATTCAATATGTCGAAGGATGTGAGGAGGGAAACATTACTAAATGCTTCTCCTATATCAAAAACTGGATTAGTTGTGGTGAGATAAACTTTAAAATATTAATATGTATAAATTTTCATACGAATTCTATTTTTAGGCTCTTTCAAACGAAAGTAGTGCCGAAGAGAATTTTATCGTAAATAGGTTGGATTCTAATGTTTCTGCCTTAGAAACAATTAATTTTAAAGTTGGTGATAAATGTTATGTTGGGGGAACTCGTCCCGGAATAGTGGCTTACATTGGTGGTAGGTACAAATATATATGTATATATATATACAGTGGCTCCCACTCGTACTTGTACAACGAAGCAAAATGTACAATTTGAAATTTTTTTGCAAATGAATTCGTACAATTTTTTTTTAATTTTATTTTTTTAACATAATTGGTTATTTATCATGAAAATTAAATCAAATTAAAGAAAAAAATTTGTTAAAAAAAAAAACAAGTAAAAAAATGCTCGCAATCATATTCGTACAGTTATATAAAGCAACAATATTCTTAAAAATAGATTATGCAATGTTTGTTTTGATAATTGTTAATAATTTTTCTTAGTTTCGATGAATAATTAAAAGTGTTTGAATACATAATTTTTATTGCATTTTAACGAAATATTATTTTTAATTAAACTATGGGCAGGAAATCGAAAGAAATTTCAACAGAGCTATTGAAATTGATCGTAGCTTCTTATAAAAATGGCAGTCGCTTTCAGAGATTAGTTCTTTAGTGGAAAGGAGTCGTTCTACAATTCTGTATGTTATAAAACGTCATACTGATAAAAATAGAATACAGAAAAGCCGAGAAATTTAAATAGAAAGCTATTAAGCAACCGTGATAAATGCATTATTCTCCGAGAAATTAAAAATAAACTAAAAACAAGTGCTTCTAAGCTGGTAGAATTAGAAAAATTCAACTTTGAAAATGTAAGGCCAGAAACCGTTCGATCAACTATTAGAAATCATGGTTACAATGGTAGAGCTGTGAGAAAAAACCTTTTCATAATAAAAAAAAATAAGAAAAAATAAAAAAAATAAAAAAAGATTTTGAGTTTTAAAAGCACGTAATTTTTACCAACGAAAGTAAATTTAATGTTTTTGGATCTGATAGCAAACAAACTGTTTGGAGAAAACCTAATTTAGAACTTTTGCCTATAAATTTATACACAACTGTAAAACATGGTGGAGGTTGAGTGGTGGTGTGGGAGTGTTTTCAACATCTGGAATAAGAAATCTGACTATAATAGAAGATTTTTATAATCCCGGATAAGTATATTGATATCTTAAAGATAATTTTAAAAGGAAGTACTGAGCGCTCGGGAATCGAATAAAGTTTCAAATTTTATTTAGATAATGATCCCAAGCACACTGCTTGTAAAACCCGATCACGGGTTTTAAACATGTTAAAAGCCAAATTTGCGGAAGAACAGGCTCAAATTTCGGCTGACATCACAAAAAAACTTGTTGAATCAATGCCAAACCGATTAAAAGATGTCATTCGGAATAAAAGCTATGCAACAGAGTACTAGACTTAGGATTATATTAAGTTTGTGCTTTTAATAATATAATTAATGTAATGCTATACGAATACGACTGTGACTTGAATTTGTTCATGAAATTTAAAAATTTTTTTTTTCAACAATTTTGTTTGTTAAATGTAATTTAATTTTTATTTTTGTTTACTACTATTATTAAATAATAAAACTTGAGCAAAACATTTACAAAATATATTTCACATTTTCAGTTTATTAAATAGAATTAAAATATGGTTGCTGTACGAATACGAATGGGAGCCACTGTATATACTTAATAGATTTACGTAAGAACGCATTGCAAAAATCAAGAACAATCTTTGATTAATATAACTTGTACTTGTGGTCTTTGTTTGCTTTATTAAATATGTAACTATTTATAAACCTTAAGCTTTTTAAAATTTTTTAGAAACTCATTTTGCTCCAGGGGAGTGGGTTGGTGTTATTTTAAATGATCCAAGTGGAAAAAATGACGGTTGTGTGTCTGGGAAGCGTTATTTTCAATGTGAAGCAAAACATGGAATTTTTTCAAGAGCAAATCGTTTAACAGTAAGTGCAGGCGCCTTTGCTAAAAAAAAAAACGACGATTTTTTAGAAAGTAGTAGCCATAGCCAATCTACATCTCCAACTCCAAGCTCTTTAACTGTTAATAAAATTCCAAACAAAATTCGAGAATTTAATGTTGGAGATAGAGTTATTGTTTCATCTGGGTATGGAAGTCGTCTAGGGGAATTGAAATTCATTGGGGAAACAAAGTTCGCCGCAGGTATAATTTTGTTAAGAGGAAATTTTTATTGTTAAGTTTAAAGTGCTGTTTTAGGTAATTGGTGTGGAGTTCAGTTAGATGAGCCAAATGGAAAGAATGACGGATCTGTTGATGGTGTAAAGTATTTTGAGTGCCCATTAAAATATGGTGTTTTTGTTCCAATAGCAAAAGTTAGTCTTTCTCCTTTAGGTAGGAAATGCAATCTCTCTAGATCTACTTCGAACGAGTCCCTGAGGTCTGGCGTAACGTCAAATAGCATTGCTAGTACCCATACATCTCGATTAAGGATGAGTAAATTGAAGAAACCCAGCGCGTTATCTAGTTCCTTTTCCATATCAGGTGGATCAAAAATCTCAGTTAAATCTTCATTTTCAATGCAAGATCTTGTTAGAGAAAAACAACAACACATAGAACAGTTAATAAAAGAAAGGGATTTAGACCGGGAAGATTTAAATAGCCAAGTTATACTGTTTCAAAAAAAGGTTTACGAATTGAACGATAAAATTAGCATGCTTGAAGTTAAATTGAAAGAATCTGAAAAGAAAAATGAAGAATGGAAAAACGCCTATGACGAAGCTGTTTTTTGTAGTGATGAATTAAACATCCAAAATATTGAATGTAAAGAAAAAATTGATATGCTACAAAAACTAATACCTCTAAATGGAATGCAGGTACAATGTGACAAAAAAAGGACATACTATTTGCTTATTACACGATAATACGTTTTTATACAAATATACTCGTATATACATATATGTTAACCCTAATGCTATTATATTTCAGATTGATCCTCAAACATTTGAAACACCAGTCACTTTTTGTAGTAATTGTGAAGCAAGTACAAAAAAAATTGAAGAACTCAATACCGCAATTTCTGTTTTATATAAGAAAATGGAAATAACGAAGAACATTCATTTAAAACCTTTAAAGAGTGATAACATATCAAATTTCAAAAACGACGAAGATGTATTGATGAAATTTGAAACAAATACTCAAGAGTACGAAGCATTAAATGACTTTCTGACCGAGGCTGGAAAAGAACACGAAAAGTTTCAGTATGAGTTGCAACATGTTAAAATCCAAAATTCCAAATTACAAAATAAATTAGATGAAGTTTTTAAGGTACTGGAAAGTAAAGAAAATGAATTGGAAAATCTAAAAACTTTGTTTAAAACCAAGGAGACTGAACTGGCAGAAATAACACAATCAGGGAATATTCTAAATTCGAAGAACAAAGAGCTTTATAGTATAAGTTCCGCATTGGAACAGGATATATTAGAAAAAACTCAAAACTTAAATGACTCTTCAAATAAAATTGCTAATTTAGAGGAGCGTTTAAAAAAATATGAAATTGTGGTTGAAAATTTAAATAAAGATCTCATACAAGCACAAGTATTAGTAGATGAAACATCTAGAATAAAAAATAAAGAAATTGAGTCGTTGACAGCAAAGATTAATGTCTTAGAGTCTACAAACAAGATGTTAAAATTAAGTCTAGATGAACTAAATAAGAAATCAAGCCAAATTTTTGAAATGAATAGCAAAATTAAAGAACAACTTGACGAAAAAAACTTGGAATATAACATTATTATTGAACAGAAAGAGATATGCATCACCGATTTGCAAAAGTTAACTAACGAGCATGATTCTTTAAAAAGGCAATTAATTTTCAAAGAAGTTTGCTTGCAAGAAAATGAAGAGAAAATTACAGTCCTAGAAAAACAATTGCATAAATTTAAAGAAGATAAGCTAACGTTAGAAAAAGAACTGGAAGATATGAGAAAAAAAAATTCAGAATTTGTCGGTACATTAGCAAAACAATTAGATGATTTTAAATTTAATAATGAAAATTTGGAGGCTAATGCACTTATATTAAAACAAAATCTTGAAGAAAAAATTTATGAAATAAAATCAAAAAACGAGAAAATCGATTATCTTACAAATCAATTGAAAAATTTGGAAAATCGAATTACATCATCTTCAAAAGTTGAAAAAGGTGAAGACAATGAAATAAATAAACTTAGTATTGCTTTAGAAATTGTGAAGAATGATGCTACAGAAAAGCAGGCTCAGATACAAAGAAACGAAAAAAGAATAGATGAATTAGAACAAATATTGGAAAATATAAGTGCTGAAAAGAAAATATTAGAAGAAAAACTGCGTAAGTCGAATCTGGACCTGCAAACTTTCAACAAATTAAACGACGATAATATTACTGAAAGAAGTGTTTTGAAAAATCAATTCAAAAATTTAGTAGAGGAATTAGAAGTACAACGTGATAAAAGTATTCAATTTGAAAATGATTCAAAAGAATCAAAAAATTTTCTTATTAATTCGAAACTTGAAAATGATACTTTGAAGAATCTTATAAAACAGTTGGAAAATAAACAAAAAGAAGTAGAAAGAATTAATATCCAAAACGAGAAGATAATATCTGAGAAAGAAATGGAATGTACCGAAAAAGAAAAGCAAACAATCGCATTAAAATTAGAAAACTCTCAATTAGAATGTTGCTTAAAAGAACTTAAAAATAAATTCAGTCAACTTTCTGACGAATTTGAAGTTCAGAAACTAGAACTAATCGCGAATATAAAAGTAAATGAGAGTCAAAAAATGTCTTTAAAAGATTTTGAAATTGCGTTAAATAATAAAAATGAAGAGATTTCCAAGATTCAAATGGATTTGAAATCTTTAATTGAAGAAAAGGCGTCTTTGCAATCTGTTTTGAACGAACATATCGGGGCTAAGGCCGCATCTATAGAGGAGATAAAAAATCTCAAGAACAATTTAGATTCAATGAAAGAAAAATTAGTTTCTACAGAAAAAATAAATGAAACAAACGTGGCACAGGTAGAAACGTGCTTGCAACAATTAGAAAATTCGCAAAAAAAATTTTCAGATGAAATGGAGTGTCAGAAAAATTACGTTGAAGCTTTAAACCAAGAATTACATAATGTAAAAAATGCGAAAACTTTTCTTGAAAGCTCCTTAAAGCAATTTGAAGAAAAATATATAAATATGGAAACAACAAAGAATTTAGAGCTTGCAAATATTAAAGTAAAGTTAAGCGAAACCATTAAAAGCAAAGATAATTTTGAAATGCTGCTGAATGATTTTAAAATGAAATTGGAAAAAGAAAAAACGCAATTAGAAGATTTTCAAACTAAGTATAAACAAAATGCCGACCGCGTTTTAGAACTCGAACAGGAAAGTACCATTTTGAAGGAAAAAGTTCAGTTTGAGGGAGAACTTTCAATAAATCGTGATTGTGATTTTGGTGCGGAACATATCAAAAACTTAACATCTCTATTGCAAGAAGAAAAAACTAAAAACGATAAATTAAATCAAAAATACAAAAAAATTCTAACAGAATTATCCTTATTAGAAAACTCTTGCGGAATTCTTAGAGAACTGGAACAGAAAACAATAGATTTACAGCACATAAATGATATGCTTCTGGAAGAGAATACACAATTGAAAAATGATATCGACAATACAAAAAATAAAAAGCAAGAAACCAAGTATAATACCGCACTTTTCGAGTCTGAGAGCAATAACGAGTTAGAGAAGCTCAAGCAGACCTTAATAGATACTCAAAATACAGTCAAGAGTTTGACAGAACAGTTACAATCAAAAAGTAAAAAAGTGGAAGAAATTACGAAATTGTATGAAATATCATATAAAAATGTACTTGAAAAAGCTATTTGCAATGAAAATTTAGAAAAAGAAATTCAAACACTAAAAAATTCTTTAATCAGTAGCGATTTTTTTTCAAAAAACTCTTCAACGAACAGAACGAACCAAATTTTGGCAGACAATGGTGCAATTGATCAAATAAACTTTCTTAATTCAATTATAGCTGATATGCATAAAAAAAATGAAACCCTCAAAGCTCGAATTGACGTTTTAGAAACGAACACTTTGGATATGACAAAGTATTTGAGTTTAGATATGTTTAAAAAACGAAAACCTACACCTCGAATATTTTGTGATATTTGTGGTGAATTTGACCAACACGACACAGAAGAATGTCCACTGCAATGCTCAAACAGTCCAACAACCTCTTTACATGATTCTATTAAGGATGACAACTGTAAAGATAAAAGAGAAATACAACCTCTTCGAGAATATTGTGACAGTTGTGAAGTTTTTGGTCATTGTTCAAATTTATGCCCAAATAATGATTGCTATTAGTATGATTTGAAAAAAATTAAATAAACGTAAGGTAAATTAAAACAAGAAAATCTTTTGATAAAACTGTCGATGTTTCAACATTCCCCAGACTGTAAGTAGAATAAAAATACTCACTGAAATACAAAAAATACTCTTGTATTGAATCCATTTTGACTGGTTTAAGCTCACCTCCTCATTTACATGTTGAAATTTCTCAACTTTAACTTCAATTCCGTCATTTATGTACATACTGTATGTATTTCGATACTCTTAAACGGTTTTTTTGAAAAGCAAACTTGACAAATTAATATTTTTCTAAATTTTTGTGGTGTTGTGTTTTACAGCTTAGAAATGAGAATTGCAACTAGCCTTTGCTTTTTAAAAAAAAGAAGGGTTAATGTACTATTTTAAAACATTAAAAGAGTTTCCTGGAGGCTTCCTGATTAGCCAATTCAATTGCCCTTAGATTGTTGTTAACACAAATATGTTCCGGAGGGCCCATATAAAACAACTTGAATAATAAGCCAGTAACCTTTATTGGGGGTTAGGAACCGAAGACTTTCCGCGAGCCTAACAACATTTAATTGCGCATTTGTAGATTAAAAAGCGCCATCAAATTTATCTATCCCTTCTTATGATTTGGGGCCTGATCGCTTATTTCGCATTTTTAACTCGGAAAGTGAGAAAAAAGTGAGTAATAATCATACATTTGTATAATGTAATTTTGAAGTGGGAAAAATTATTCGGTATTGCGTATATCGCTTTTTTCTAAAGTTTGACGTTCAGTCAATAATTTGAAACAAAACGCCAAAATCCAATTGAAAAATGAGTAATCTTATTGGAAAAGTAAAATATCCATTAGAAAAAACAGAATCCTGATTTGAAAGTGAATAAAATGTGAATAAAATAGCGAGATATACGATCAGGCCGTTAATAAACGCCTTATATTCGATTATTGCCTTCCACTTTGGCCGATGCCGGAAAAATCGGCTCTTGAGCTTCAGCTCGGGGATGCTTGTAATGGGGATGGTCGCAGTAATCTCGAGTATGAACTAGCAAGGCAGCTCTTAATCCTGCGGAAAATAGTGAAATTTAATTCTTAGAATTTTGTTACAAATATTGATTGAGACCAGTAAGGACCAGTAAACAGTAAACCAGTTAAGTAAATTTTAAATTTCCCGAATATTCTAATTAAAATAAATTATTAAAACCGAATTTGAAAGAGGATTTGATAGACGTCAAAATGAATTTAATCTACATAAATATTTACTTTTCCGTTTTTGGTTGATATTGGAATAATTGATGCAAATTTACAATTGAAATTGGAATGCTGTGCGATTCTGTATTAAAACAAAAATTTAGAGAAGTGGAAATTACTAAATTTTATAATTATTTAGCTATAAATCGCTTAAGCGTGTTCTAGCCATGTTCGGAAGTACATACATATTTGTGTGAACAATTGTTTTCGATACTAAAAAGTACTAAAACGGCTGAAAGATTAAGATCAACAGATCAACATTTTCAATCATTATTAAATATATTAAAAATTACAAATGCGAATTAAATTCAACTAAATTTTGAAGATTTAGTAACAGAAAAACGGTGTTAACTATTTTTAAAAAAATGATTTTATAATTTTTTGTTTGACTATATTATTTGTATGTTTTATATTTTTTTATGTTGATAATAAAAATCAAAATTATAATTTGGTAGTTTAAGTTTTTTTATTATGCGGCCCGCGGAACATCAAAAACAAAGAAAATTTAATCAATTAAAATAAAAAATAATGATAATTTTTTGGTTTTTTACATTTTATTAGGGCCCTTAAAGTCTTGGCATAGAAATGGTTTTCGTGCTATATCTTCTGTACCATAAAAAATTTTTCAACACTTAGTGGCCTAAATTAAAGCTGGTGAAAGTGGCCAAAATTCTGTAAAAAAAATTCAAAGTTTCAAAAAATTTTCGAACGAAATTACCTGGTTAGAAAAAACTAAGAAAATAAAAAAAGGGAAAAATTTGATTTTTCCTAAAGTTCGAACTAAAGTTCGAACTTTTCCTAAAGTTTGATTTTTCGAAGTTCTGGATTTCGAAAACCCTTGAGATTTCACACCTACTCCGGAACAAAAGTTTTACCCATTTTCGACCCTCTAACCAATGGTATATGTTGTTGTATATGTGCAGGGGATAATTCAATCGGTTTATTCCGACTGAAAAGTTTTTTTTTGTTTTCAATTAGTTTTAAGTACAGTATTATAAATATGGGGATTCTAAATATAATGACGTCACAATGTAGTATAAATATGGGGATTCTAAATATAATGACGTCACAATAAAATATAATGACATCACAATGATTTAACAAAATTGTTGGAGTGGTATAACATAATTGATTTTGAATTCATAATGTATGTTATCATAAAAGATGTGTAAGAGCAGCGTGTTAGCAGCAGGTTCTAAGAGTTAGAGGAGGTAGGGCGGCGGAGTTGTAGCAAGCAGGTTCTAAGAGTAAGATGAATTGGGGCGGATCCTGAGCTATAACAGATTCAAAAAGTCGAAACGTAGTAGGTTGGATGAGACGAGTTGGAGGAGTTGGGATTGTAGGAGTCGGGATAGGAGCGGCGGCGGTGGAGTTGTGTAGCAAGTTAAAAAAAAAAGAGTCAGAGGAGTTGAGGTTCACAGCAGGTTCTAAGAGTTGGCGGAGTTGAGGAGTTGGTTGTGTCGGAGTTTTAGCGGTGGTATTGAAATTTTTCTGCATATTTTAAAAAGAATATGAAAAATTTTTTTTCATCATCATAAAAATAGAGATAAAAAAAATTTTTATGATGATGAAAATATTTTATGTTGTCTGATGAAAGAAATTTTTTTTTATTATCATAAAAATAGAGATAAAAAAATTTTTTTGTGGTTTTTGTTTTGAAAAAGAAACAATTTTATTGTGGTTTTTTTGTTTTTAAATTTTGTCAAAACTGTGTAAAGAATGAAAGAAATGAAAAAAAAATTATAGTATGTCATATGCGTGAACTTGAAAAATGAACATAAAATTTTGCTGTGGCTTTTGTTTTGAAATTTTATCAAAACTGTGTAAAGAATGATTGAAAAAATTATAGTATGCTAGATCTGTGAACTTGAAAAAAAATGAATTTATTAAAAATGTAATATATTTAGAAATTATATTACATATGCGATCGGTAAAAATGTAATTTATATATTTCACAAGTTTAGTATAATTCGAAAAGCAGAAGCTTAAGTTTTATTTTATATATATATATATATAAATAATTTAAAGTGTTAAAATAATTTAAAGTGTAAAGTAAAGAAAAATTTAAATTATAAAATGAAAAATTCAAATAATCAACAAGATCAATCTCCAACAAAATTTTGTGAGGAATGTGAATTGCAAATTCCATACAAAAATTGGTTGCATCATGTGAGAACCTTCTTACATAAAAAAATGCAGCAAAATTAATTGATGGTGGATGGAAATGCGTGAAAAGTTTGTTCAGCGAACGTGTAGAAATGTATTTATTAGAAAATACAAATGAAGAAACACTTGCACCGGAAGAATTTCTAGACATTTCACAGCCCCAAGTTATGAAATTATTGAAACAATCGCTCCAAAAACATGGTTGTTTTAAATTTAATATAGAAATGTTTGCAGAATATATTAAATTTCAAGATATTGAAGAAAATGCAGACGATGATCTTATTTTAAGCATAAAATCGTTTAATTCAAAAATGATAACAATTCATAATGATGCAGAAATTTCAGATGCGTATAATATTATAAAAGCTATTATCATACGGAAAACTGAAGAATTCCAGGAACGTGATAGTGGTAGTGAAAAATTACCGATATTCAAAAATTCGAGGAATTAAATCCAACAATCAGTATAAATGTATTCGGTTATGAAATGATGGAAACACAATCAGAAAGTTGTTTCTTTCAAATAGTGGGACCGTATTATTTTTCAAAAGAAGAAAAAAAATATCATATTAATCTTTTATATATAATGGAAGGTGATAGTCATCATTATGTTTGGATTAAAAATTTATCAAGACTTGTACGCTCACAACTAACTAAACATAAATCGATGATTCATTTATGTAATACTTGTTTATTATGTTTTTACAATGAACAAGATCTTCTATTACATAAACCAGAGTGCAACAGAGTAATAACAAGTTTACCTTCAAACGAAAGACAAATAATTAAATTTGAAAAATATGAAAGACAACTAGATATACCATTTGTAGTATATGCAGACTTTGAATGTGTGTTGCAGAATATTAGCAGTTGCTCACCAAATCCAACTATATCATCAACTGAAGATATACAAATTCATGTTCCATGCTCATACGTAACATTAAGTCTTCGTTTGATGACGATATTAATATTTTCCGAATGGATACGGGGTTGGATTGTATCGATAAATTTGTAAGTAACTTAATAGATGATACAACTAATTTATATATTAACTATATTAAAAATATTAAGCCAATAGAACAATTAACAAATTTACAATTAAGAATTCAATTACAAAAGAAAACTTGTCATATTTGTAAAAAAATTTTTAGATTATAAGAGAATTGCCGACCATTGTCATTTGACTGGAAAATATCGAGGACCTGCTCATAGTCATTGTAATTTAAATTATAAAATTCGTAATTTTTTTCCTATTTTTTTTCATAATTTTTCTGGATACCATTGTCATTTATTTATAAAAACTCTTTCAAAATATCCTGGTAAAATTCAAATTATACCCAACAATAAAGAAAATTATATATCTTTAAGTAAACATATTGTGTTAGGACAAAATGAAACATTCGAAATAAGATTCTTGGATTCGTTTAGATTTATGAGTTCAAGTTTGGATACCCTATCATCATGTTTAACTGACAATGATCTAATTTCGGTACGAAAAACGTTTATATCTGATGACTATTTTAAATTAGCTAGAAAAAAAGGGATATTTCCATATGAATATTTAAATTCATTTGAAATATTAGATGAAACTGCATTACCCGAACAAAAATATTTTAACAATAAATTTTCTGATAGTATTTGTTCTGATGAAGACTATGGATTTGCTAAAACTGTATGGGAAAAATTTAGATGTAAATCTATTAAAGAATATTAAGAAATTTATTTAAAAATCGATGTGCTTTTATTGACTGATGTTTTTGAAAATTTTCGAAAGTTATGTAAGAGTATATATGACTTAGACCCCTGTCATTATTATACAGCACCCGGTTTATCTTGGGATGCTATGCTGAAAAAAATAAAAGTTGAGTTAGTTAGACTTTTAAATGATATTAATATGTATAATTTCATAAAAAAAGGTATCAGAGGGGGTATTACACAATGCAGTTTAAGACATTCTATAGTAAATAATAAGTATACTGATAATTTTGATAATAACCAACCATCGTATTATATAACATACTTTGATGTTAATAATTTGTATGGATGGGCAATGTCTCACCCTTTACCTTTAGCTAATTTTAAATGGTGTGATGATATCAACAGTATTAAAGTAGAAAATATTTTAGATAATTCTCCTAAAGGTTATATTTTAGAAGTAGATTTAGAATATCCAAGTTCCAAGCATAATACACATAATGACTTACCGTTTTGTGCAGAAAATAAAAGGATTAATAATATGAAATGTTCGAAATTAATCTGTGATTTAAATAATAAAGAACGCTATATAATACATTACAAGAATTTAAAACATTGTTTAGAACACGGATTAATATTGAAAAAAATTCATAGAATCTTAGAGTTTGATCAAAGTTGTTGGTTGAAACCATATATTGAAATGAACAATTCCTACAGAACAAACGCTAAAAACGATTTTGAAAAATTTTTTTTTAAATTATTAAATAATGCTGTATACGGTAAAACAATGGAAAACATTGATAAAAGAAGAGACGTAAAAATTGTTACCAGTTGGGAAAGCAATAGGAAACATTTAGGTGCACGTGATCTAATAGCAAAACCCAATTTTCATAGCATCACTCATTTTACGAATGAAATGGCTGCAATTGAAATGAAAAGGGTAAATGTTTATTACAATAAACCGATTTATGTTGGTTTTACTGTTTTAGAAATTTCCAAATGGAAAATGTATAACTTCCACTATGATTACATGCTTGCTAAATATAAAAATAATATATTACTTAATTATATAGATACTGATTCTTTTATATATACTATAAAAACTGAAGATGTTTATAGTGATATAAAAGATGATATAGATACACAGTTTGATACTTCTGGTTTCCCTGAAAACAACACTTATAATATCCCTTTAAAAAATAAAAAGGTTCTCGGTATGATGAAAGATGAATGCGATGGTAATATTATTAAAGAATTTGTAGGACTTAGAGCAAAAATGTATTCTATTGATATTTTAAATAAAAAGAATATAACAAAAGCAAAAGGTGTAAAAAAATGTATTGTTAAAAAATTAAGAATAAAAGATTATAGAGATTTTTTATTAAATAAGAAAATATCGTTTGCAAAAATGTTGTTATTTAGAAGTAAGAATCATACTTTATACACTCAAGCTTTGAATAAAGTCACATTAACTTATTTGGATGATAAAAGATTTATAAAAAAAAACAATATTGAAACTCTAGCTTGGGGTCACTTTTCCATAGAATAATCTAAAATTTTATAAATGTAATAATAAATAAATAACTAAACAAGTAAAATTGAATTGTTTTTGTCTTTATTGTAACATATACCTTAATATTACAATTTATGTATAATATTTTATTCTATTACTTTTATTTTTGGATACATATAATCAAATCCACCTTTGTAGAGCCAAGGTCCGCTATAACTATGCAGCATTATATCTTGGATGGCAAGTCCTCCTTTCTGATTAACAGCGTCCCAACCAATGCAGTAGAACTTGATGTTGTGCCAGTCTGAATTAAATTTTATATATGTTTCGAAGTCAAATTTTTTCGAGTTGAACCATGCAGCTAAGGCTTGCGATCTCAATGTTTTTGGTGTATTCATTGTCTTTTTATTTTTTTTGTTTTTATTTTGTTTAGCTGAATTTAATTAAATTTCTAAATGTGTACTAATATTTAGAAATTAAATTTTATTTAGCTACAATTATATTCCAAATTTTTTAGCACATTTAATATTGATAAATAAAAAAATATCAAAAAAAAATTCTAACATACTAAAACGTATGAAGAAAATATAAAAGTTTGCAAATTGGGTAGCATAAAACCACATACATCCGGCAAGCGTATTTTCAAATTGTATTAATTTAACTTTGAAGTTAAATAGCACTATAAAACCGTATATATTTCTCAAGTTAATAGAAATTATTATGCAATAAATTTTCGGTACCATAAAACCGCATATATCTAAATATGATTTTTAAGAATTTCAAAAGATATGTAGAATGGCGATCTCAATGTTTTTGGTGTATTCATTGTCTTTTTATTTTTTTTGTTTTTATTTTGTTTAGCTGAATTTAATTAAATTTCTAATTTTATTTAGCACATTTAATATTGATAAATAAAAAAATATAAAAAAAAAAATTCTAACATACTAAAACGTATGAAGAAAATATAAAAGTTTGCAAATTGGGTAGCATAAAACCACATACATCCGTCAAGCGTATTTTCAAATTGTATTAATTTAACCTTGAAGTTAAATATAATTTTTAAGAATTTCAAAAGATATGATAATGTTAGAATTATAAGCTTTCGGTACCATAGAACCGCATATAAATAGAGAAGAAATTAGAAAAATTTAATTAGTATTGAATTGATCATCCAATTATACTTAAAATTAAATTAAATTAAAAAAAAATTTTAAAATAAAAATGAAGAGAATGAGACAAGACAGTACCAGCAGTTCCAGTAGCAGCAGTTCCAGTACGGACGACTTTGAAGCTTTTCTAGAAGCATTACACACCATAAAACAATACAAAAAATTCAGCTCCCTGGGGCATGAAGTAAGATTCAAAATACTTGGACTATTGAGATCTAATTCCTCCTTCAAGGACAAAGAGGGAAAGAAGAAGGAGTGCGTGAAAGTAGAGTGTAAAGATTTTTATACGTATATGCCTATTTTTTATACGGAGAGACATCCGCAAAAATACATAGAAAAAATAAATAAAAATTAAAAAATAAAAAAAAAATTTGAATACTTTTTTACAATTGTTGGTTGTAAAGATAATTTCTTTCAACTAACATTTGATATTGAAAAATAAAAAAAATGTCTTTTAAAAAAAATGTCTTAATATTTTACTTTGATTTTCAGCTTCTTTTTTTTCAGGTTATTATTTTTATTTTATCTCTATAAAAATCTAAAAAATGAGTGAAGGAAAAAAAAATCTAAAAATGAGGTGAGGGAAAAGAAAACAATTTTTTATTGTTTTAAAAAACTATAATTATAATTATTTATTTTATTTTTTATTTATACAATTCATTTCTTATTTTTATTAAATGTTCCGCTAGCTGATTAATCTGTTTTTTTAATTTCTTCTTTCCACCTCTTTGTGGAATCAGTTGATGTGTTTTTTAATTTTTCATAATTGTTATTATTTTTCGAAAAATAATTTTTTATTTTATCCATATTGATTTTGTTTTTTTTTTTATATTTAAAATCGTAAATAAAATAACTGAATGAATAAATTTTTATCGTTCTCATTTCTTAAATACTATAAAATTGCTTAGATTAACAGTTTTATTAAGTAGACATTTTCAAGAGCGCAAACACCAATATGCTTATAAGAACATTTTTTTGAATAATAAATATGCTGATTTTTCAATTTTTTTAAACTTGTTGAATCATGTTTGGAGCCCAAATCATATGTATTACTATGCTTTAAAATTTTATTAATCCAATTCTTCTTTTCTTCACCCTTCACATATATGATTGTATTATTATTTATATAAATCCTTAAAAAAATGAAGATATCACAAAAATGCGTTTGACCATCCGACCATCGAAATCCATGATGTTTTTTTGTTAACCAGTTATTTGTATTCTTAGTTTTAGATGTAAGTATATGATATCCATATGAAGGTTTTATAATAAAATGCTGTATTTCATCATTTGATGAAAGGATAGCAATTTCTTTTAATATGAAGTTATTATTGTTATCTTTAAAACCTTGTACATCGATTATAACGTAATCCATTTTTATTCTTTTTACTTCATTAAACGATTTTATTAACTTCACCGGTCAAAGGTGTGAATTCTACTAATCTATCGTGCAGCATAAGACAATAAGCCGTTGTTTTATCGGGTATTGCAGCTGAACTTTTCATTTCAATTCGAACATCAACCGGTCCCATTTTTAGATTTTCATTTTGATAACGAGTATCTATTATCAAAATCATAGCTTTTTCTTTAAATTCCTTTAATGTTAATAAAGCTTTAGATATAGGGTAATTGTAATAACTACTTCGAAACCTTGTGTACTCATCATAAGCAATACCGTAACGATTTCTTTCAAAAAATAAATTCATGTCTTCATACGGATAGCATTCTGAATTTAGGTAAACTTTTAGATCAGTTATATTACAATGATCAAATTTTGATGGATCCTTCGTTACTTGGTCAAGTTTATCTGTTTGCAAAGCAAAAATAATGTAACGTGGTTTTTCCAATTGAGTTGTTGTTTTTACATTCCAAATATGATGATTACTATTTTGTGGTAACGATGGATATTCATACAATTCCCAATTTCTGAAAGCTAGCATTATTTTTGCTTTATTTGTAATATTCCTATACAAGTTCAATTTCAGCGTATCAGTTAAATTGATGTGCTGTACTCTCCATTGCACTTTGGTCAGTTGAATTTTCGGTTTCTCATTGACATCAGAGCAAAGAAAGGAATTATCATCAGATCTTGAACGTGTTAAAATTATTTCATGTCTTGCATTCGGCACAATATTTTTGTAGTCCTCCGCAAATCCTAAAAGTCTTCTTAACGGAATACAATAATTAAAAAATAAAGTTTGTGGTTGAATTGGTTGTTCAGGTGACCAGCTACCATTAATAAGTGCTTGACTCTCATTTTTGTTTAATGAAATGTAATATTTTAAGCATGATGTTATACCCACATTTCTATTGTTATCAATTTCTTTCCCATTTAACTCATACCGTATCTCATCAAATAAAAATGCAATAGCATTATTTATAAGTTTTGTTTTAGTTGTTTCAGTACCATCAGCTCTTGTAATAGTACCTTCAATATAAAGTAAACTAGTAGAAGGTAAAATGTTTAAATTTTGATTTTGTATCTGTATGCGTATAATATCGCTTTTATTAAATGAATTCAAAAATGGTGAATATGTATGCCAGTGCGCACTTGTTGTACTCTCATCGATTGCAGGATTTAAAAATAGATTATCCATTTTAGTATTTCTTCAACTTGTAACCGATCGATTTTAAATATTCTTTATTGTATACTGTTAGTGTACGCTTAATATTAGTTAATTTTAATGTTTGTCTGCCTGGTGATTGCGCTCTGCTCTGTCTTAACACTGATGTGCTATTAAATGATGGAAAATTGGCAATGTTATTATATAGTATCATATTGCTGGTATCTCAGGTGTAATCGTACTGTTATAGTTTCACCTTGAAAATTAATTAAATTGTTATTCTGATCAACTAGTTTTACAGTTATTGAACTGATTCGATTGGTTGCTACAGGTAAATAGATAAGATTTTTAGGAACTTCAATGATTTTATAGCCAGGAGCAACTGCAATTTAAAATTCATGAAGAATATGTGCTTCCTGATTATTAATGTATGTCCCTTTTATAATATTACATTCAACTCGTATAATATTTATTTTATTTATATCAACAGGTGCATCTGATGAATGCCATATATTTGCTTTTAGCACTGTTTTACCAAAACCTAACAATCCTCCAATTGTATTTTCTTGTGTGAAATCGATATCTTTGTCTGAATAAATCTCACATAAGTGAGATTTATTCAGACAAAGATTTTTTCTTAAGAAATTTTTCGATATCTTCAATTTCATAAGAACCTGTAGGAATATGAATAACCTTATCATCATAAATAAATTTATTATTTCCCTCATCAATATTTGGTATAGAGTTATATGTTTGAAAATCGACTAATGTACAAATATATTGCCCACTCAACTCTATAGCGGGGAAATATTCAAATATTCCTTGAACTTTATGTAAATGCTACACTATGAGTATTTTTTTTTTATCATAGTAAAAAGAAACTAAAAACTATACATTATCAAAGAATTCTCATATCAGTGGCTCTAAAAAACGAAAAAATAATTTTTATAATACATAAATATTAAAAAATGTTTTTATTTTTGTTATTGTCTTTATTGTTTTTCTACTTTCTATAATATTCTGTATTTATTAAGAAATTCAAACATAAATGACCGCAATTATATGTATCAAATTTTTGATATATGTTGTAGTTATATGAAATTTTATCACCTAAGTATTTTATTACTTCTTTAGGTGGTTGTAAACTCCCGAAACTATCGAAATATTTAATATCATTTAAATTCTTATAATATGCTACCCAATGAGTTCCATCACCGATTGAATCATCCAAATTTATGATGCCACACTCACGCTTCCATGGTTTAGTTTTAGGAAGATAATCTCTCATAAAAACTCCACGAAAATAATGCAAATACTTTCTTCCAAAATGATTTATATCTACATCAGTTAGAGCTCTTTTAGGTAGCAAGCTTATCGGTTTTTTGGTGTTAAATATAATCCAAGTCCTTGCTTATATGGTTTTAAGTGCAATCTTCTTCCACTTAAAGCAATAGCTTCCATAGTCTTATTATGACGCACATTTTCATCTAGTAGTTTTCTACCACTTTTAGCATCATTAACAGCTTTAGCAATTCCAGCAGCGCCACCTGCAAGAGCTCCAACAGCTGAAAGACTTGCAAATATTGGTATTAATGGTAAAATGCCACCAGTTTTAGGAACTCGAATAACTCGTGGAAGTTTTATAGATTTTCGATCCCTGCTTAGATTTCTTGCAGCTCTTAGAGCAATTTTTACTGCATCCTTTTGTCTTTCAGGTTTATAACCTTTAATAGCTATTTTAGCTTCCCGGATCACTTTACTTAATGGCTTCTTTTTTCTTATTTTTCTTGAACAACCCATACCAAGTTTTACTTTAGCTTTCATTGCGTTGCCAACTAATAATGCACTAGCTCGTTCTCCAAAACTTGAATCTTTTGCTTTAACTCTTGACCAAGCTTTTTCAGCTAATCTTTTATCAGCAAAATGTCTATCTTCTATAGTATTACTTTTTGAATATGCAATATCGTGCTCCTTACAGGCCTGATTTAATTGATTAATACCTTCATCACCACGACTTAATCGCTTTTGAAGTTTTGTACCCGGTCCACAATAATTATAGCCCGGTAGATGGGCTTCAAATGATAATTTATTTATTCAAGATTCCTCTACCCTTTTTAACAGTTTTTTATAACTGATCTGTTTCTGATTGTTAATAGACATATTTATACCTTCTTTGAATGCGGTTCAGGTGTGAATGCATTAGAATATATAATATAGTGTTATATAAACTTTCAGCAGTAATTAAAAATGAAGTTTGAAAAAGCCCACGATGCAGTCAAAGTAAGGAACTATGATAAGCAATCAAAAAATAAGAAAAAGTGGAAGCATGGAGAAATGTTTCCAGTTAGTATACGAGGATTAATTGTAGGACCATCTAATTGTGGTAAAACTAATATTATGTTAAGCATGCTACTAGATCCAAAAGGTGTCAAATTTCATAATCTATACATATATTCAAAATCATTGCATCAGCCAAAGTATGAATACTTAAAGAAAATAATAAAACCTATTAAAGGGATGAGTTATAATGAATTTTCAAATAATTCAGATGTAATTGATCTATCAGCTTCATTAAAAAATTCAATATTCATATTCGATGATGTTGCGTGCGATAAGCAGGATAATATAAAAAATTACTTTTGCATGGGTCGCCATCAAGATGTTGATAGCTTTTATTTATGTCAGTCCTATACCAGAATTCCTAAACATTTAATAAGAGATAATACCAAATTTTATCATCGCATTCAAACAAGATGATCTAAATTTAAGACATATTTATAATGATAATGTTAATACAGATATGTCTTTTGATAAGTTTAAAAATTTATGTTAAAGTTGTTGGAAAGATACATATGGGTTTTTACTTATTAATAAAGATAAGCCCTTAAATAATGGTCGCTATAGAAAGAATTTTGATCAATTTATAAGATTATAAATATATATTAGTAAACAACATTAACTGCTCAGTTCAATAACAGATCAATAGCCGACTAGTAACCGAACAGTAACCGATCAGCATCAGATCAGATCAGTTCACATCAGATCAGATCAGTTCACATCAGATCAGATCAGTTTAATTGAGATTAGTTATAGTTCAATTCGCTATGTCATGAATAAAAAAGTTTTAGTAGATTTAATTAAAGTTAGAAAAGATTTAAAAAGAAAATACAACGCATTAAAAACTGGAAGAATTACTCAAGAGCAATCTCTAGAAGAGACGTTTAAACCAATTGTTGCTCCAATCAAAGAATTAACGAATGTTGTGAAATTGCAACATCCGGTTGATTATATTAAGCCAGAAATCAAAGAAGAAACTGATAACGATTACACAAACATAGCAAAACAAGAGAAGAGTTCTCCTGAAAGTTTTATTACATCATCACCCAATACCAGTACATTTAAAACTTTAAACAAAAATAATAAGTTTAGTGATTCAACATTAATTACACAATTAACGCCTATAAAGAGTCATAACAACAGTAGCCCAAAGCTTGATAAGAGTTATGGACCTTATCTTGATCATAACTCGAACAACTGGAAACTAGGAAAATCTATATTTAGAATTGATGAAAGAACAAACGATATAATAATTGGTGAGGAGATTTTTGAGGGAACTGTAGGTTTGCACGAATTAATATATAAATTACATCCAGAAAACTATAACGAAAATGATTTACAGCTATATCGAAAAATTTTAGAGAAACGAATGCACACCGAAAAAATTATGATTCCTTAGATCAAATTAAAGGGAATAAGGGTTTTAAATATAAAAATATTATAAGTAAACTATTTCAACATGAATATAATACAAGAGCTAAAAAAATAGGAAAAGGTTTAACTAAACACACAACTAACATGATTTACTCTAAAAATCCAGTTCAGTATGTTCACTGGGATGATCCAAATGAGCTGGTAGATAGATTAAGGCTTTTAGTTGCATCCCAATTAGCTAGTAATAATAATCACCATAATGAAATCAATTCCATAATTGAAGAACTAAGAGAAGCTAATATAATCGAATAAATTAAGAAAATAAAAAAAATCATTATCATTCACAAAATGACTATCGATAAGTTCGGACATATTCAAGGTGCAACATATAAAATTCCAAGACAAAGTCCTACTTTATCTCTCTTTAAAATAAATTCAAATGGAGATTATGATATTCAAAATAAACAATTAATAAATCTTAGGGAGCCGATTAATCCTAACGATACTACTACAAAGGAATTTGTTGATCAGGAGTTAAAATCTGTAGTACAATATTTAGATAATTCAATTCAAAGTTTAAAACATAATATACTGAAAATTTTAAGCGATAAATTAACTAAATTAGATGATAAGATCAAAACTTTTATTGAAGATAGAATTGAAACACAAAATAAATTTCTTTGGAAAAGTATGGAAGAGAAAATAGATAATACTATGAATTTCGTAAATACTGAAACCGAAGAACATTTAAATAACCTTGAGCTCCGAATAAAATTATTAGAAAGAAATAGATAAATGAATCATGTTAAAGAGATATCTAATAAATCAGAAAATAAAGTGAAATAATACATTAGTTCATATTAAGACATCATTCATAAAACATGGATATACCACAATTCGGATACGCATTGAATAATTTTATTAAAAAATATGATGACATTTTATTAGAAGAACATTCTAATGAGCTAAAAGAACACTACAAATTTTTGTTGCAATTCAAAAATTCAATGCAAATAGAAACAGAAGATTATGGTTTTCATTGGAATATTTGTCCATATTCTTCAGATGTTGTGGATTCAGTACCTAAAACTTGTCCATGCATTTCAGCTGATAATATTATGATAAAGTGTGCGAAATTAATAAAACTATACGAAAGAATACAAAGGAAATAATTAGCAGCCGATATTTATCTATGTAAAATTATTATATTAATTTAGTTCCTTAAAAACACTACACATGAAAACATCTTAATCATGAGCATTGAAGATGATACTTCTATTATGGAAAAATTAAATGAAATAAATAATAAAATTCAACTTCAT